TCTCTGCCTTATTTTCTCTGCTACGGGGGCCTCATTAGGCGCCGAGGCTCGGTGGCCTAGCTGCGTCTCAAGATTTCTCGCTCTCTTCCAACTTCTCTCTGAGGGCCACTGAAAAGCCTCCGTGGATACCTCCATAGTTCTGTGAGCTCAAGCAGGACCCTTAACCTGCCCCACATCCAGCAGCAGTTGAATAGCCTCCTAGGATCCTTTGGGAAAAGCTCATGGGGCCACACGAGAGGCCATGAAAACGTTTTGTCATCACAGCATTTGCTGAATGCATTACTTTGCAACTTAAAGCAGTTGGTATCTCTCCAGATAATTACGGTGCCGATGATGATACTGCTTAGCCATGACCTGCGCTCGTGAATAAAGATGAGTAATTTGTTATTGGCAGTTTCGTTTCATTATTGCCATGTTTTTTGTACGTAAGCTCAACACGGTCGTTATCGTCGTCTTGATCATCGCTGTCGTTCTGTGAACGTTGCAGGCGCGTGTAGCCAACAAGGCCGTTTGTTGTTTGTTTATCAGAAGACAAAGAGAAAACCATCTCACTCACTCCTTTCATTTCATACTTGGCATTGATTTTTGCTCGGTGTTCCCGCAGCAATCGTGTCATCCTCTTACGCATCACATGCAACACGTGTGCACTGAACCTGTGTTGGTGAAGGCACAGTGGCTATTTTGTTTGTTTTGGCGTTTGATTTTTGGACACGGAGCACACTGACCATGTATAGAAGTTAGGTAGAGGTGTTCCTCCGATTAGCACAGTTGGCTACGTACGGTGCGAAAGAAGTGCAATATACATGTGCACGTAGCTATTGAGTGTGTAGGCAGTGGAAGTGCGCGACTGGAGTTGCCCAGACACCAGACTGCGGCGAGGCGACATTGGACGGGGGTCATCAAGCGCCTACTTGCACCAGGAGCCATGCCAACCCCACTCAACAAGGCCGCTGAAGCTACGCACTCCCAGAAGGCCATGCAGCTGATGGGTTGTGGAAGAAATATCTGTATTGTTTTACGTGGAGGGAAGGATATGTGGAGGCATCATGTCTGCTTGTTTATGTTGTTATACGGTCGTATCGGCATGTGTAAGCTTCTTTTGCAATATGGGATAGGCTGTGTGTGTGACTCGGTCCTCGAATATCAGATTGCCCATTGTGTGTGACTCAGCTCTCTTTGTGCCAGTCCAATAACAGAGAGCTGAACTCCACACATTGGCCAATCTGATAACAGAGAGCTTTATTCAACTAAAAAAACTAAGTTATTTTTCTTTATTTTACCAGGTAAGGCCCACTGAGCTATATAACTATTTTTCAAAAGCGATTTGGCCCCAAATGATAGCTCAACGAAGTGGCTTATCACATGGAAACTTAGAGCAGCCAAATCCACACCACCACCACGAAGGAGAACATTCAAACTCCAAATAAACAGGTGTCATGGACAGGATCGACCCCACAATCTCCTGCATATCAGGCAGAGGTCGCAACCGGGTACCCGATACCCGTACCCTACCCGATACCCGGCTACCCGTACCCAGCCGGGTACGGGTATGGGTAGGCCGTGAGTCACTGGTGAGTAACTGTTTGTCACTCATTTCCCAACGTCTTGTCTCTTCTCATAATTCAAGTTCCTAGAATCAACCCACCCGCGCCTGCAACATGGCTTCATCCCAGAGGTCGCAATCAGGTACCCGATACCCGTACCCTACCCGGCTGGGTATCGGGTAGGGTACAGGTACGGGTATGGGTACCCGTTTGCGACCCTGGTGCGGCCGAGTACGGGTAAGGAATCAAAACCCGTTTGCGACCTCTGATACCCGGCGAGGTAGTTAACATCCCGCCCACGTGACGTGGCTTTATTGCCGGTTCCGCCATGCTGTGGCCCGGCTCTCTCTTATCAAAATGGCGGCAGCAGCAGCAGCTTCATATCTCCCACTCTCTCTCTTTCTCCGAGCCCTGATTAGCAGCCCTTTGCCGCACCGTGACCCTGACTAGCTCCTCTTGTCAGTGCTCGAATGTTCGGCAGCCAAGAGTCGACTCCTGGCACTTGGCCCTTGCACGGGGCTCAGAGAAAGGAGCGAGGCACAGCACAGCAGAGCCAAAGGCGTGGGTGGGAGGCCAAAACTATGGTGCTGGCTTAGGGCCTACGGGTGACCTTAATCCAGGCCTGCTTACACCAGTGGTGAAATGAGTCCACTGCTGTCAGTTGCTTGATGGGTTACTTGTGGTGTGGTGAGGCGAAGTGTTCGTGCTGGATACCTGTTACCACTGTATTCTCTGGATTTTTTTAAGATGGTCCGGAAAGTAAGACATCTCCAAATTATACCCGGTGTCAATAATGTTGTACAAAAACAATGTGGTCAAACACACAAACACGTACTCTAACACACACACACATTTACACTAACGCAAGCTCACACCTACTGCATTATAAGACAAACCCCCAACATTTCCTTAAAATACAGCCAGAGAATACAGTTCACTTTCTTCCACCAGTTTGGACCATTTCAGGTTAAGAGTAAATTTGTCCATATAAGAGGCATTGCCGGTGTATGTTTTTTCACTGTACCCAAGTATTTTGTCTCCTGGTCCTTGAGCCTTTGGTCCTAAACTGGATTATCAGGTCCACCTCGAGTGGCGTTTCAGGTCCACCTCGAGTGGCAAATGCTAACAATGAGATTATTCAAGCATTGTATCTTTTGATCACAATTAGCTATGGATAGGATGGTCACTGTGGTCGTTTTCTAAAAAAAAATAGGGAATTATAGAAGGTGCCCTGGTACCTTTGACAGAGAACATCACTTTTGGACAATAAACAAATGAGATTAAACATCTACGGCATATGAAAATCAAAAGTAAACGTGGTTATAAAACAGAGGGCATGTATGCCAAGCTCTCTCCCCATGGTGGACAATGCCCATGGTGGACAATGCCCAGGGTGGAGACTGCCCAGGGTGGAGACTGCTGGTAGCCACCTCGGTTGGCATCGAACGACCCACCTGGCCGCATGGGCTGTGCAGTGCGTAATTGTGGATGTGAATTGTGGTAATCTTTCCATACTCTGACAATCAAGCTTTTGTGAGCAGGTCACGAAAAGCAGCAAGTCTCTTTTATGTCTCCATGCGAATTACCGAGTCTCAAGATGATCATTGAACATGAAAGAAAGATGTGTGCATTGATTTCTGGAATAATTAAATAGTACTCGGGCATTTTCATTCATGTTCTTACCGTCATAACAATTTTTTTTTTTATAATTTGTACTTCATGGATTATATCCTAAAATGGCTATTATATTATACTTTAAAAATATGCAAGTCGCATGCACAATGAAACAATGTTTAGTTTTACATGATACTTGTTTATTTTTAAGCAAATAAAATGTAAAACTAACTTATTGGGCGTGGTGCTGTCCACCCACCCCATCGTGTGCCGTGCCGGCCTTCATAGGTGCTGGCTAACAGCACTTGCCCCTACAGTCTGTTCAGGCTGTACAGGGGATCTTTGTCTTCGTTTCTTGCTGTGTGTACGTAATACATTGCAATAACATTTGGATTTATACCGCAATTGTTATATTCTTGTTGATATGCCGAGATGTTTTTACATAATGCATTACTCTGTAGTTTAATCTTCAAAAGCGCGTGATTGCTCCAATTAAAGAGCTCTTTGCAAAAAAATTGCCATTGTTACTTTGTAACGCTGTGATTGAAAGGTTCGTCATACAGATGCACAGCATACTTTGCTTTGCTTGGCTGCACATCACAAACAGCTGCTTAGCATTCATTTAATAGTTCGTTTATCCACAATTTACATACATTATTTGCCTTTATTTAAATATAGATGGGAGCTCGGTGACTATGATTCCTGATGACAGAACTTTCATTGCAGCGATTTAAAGTTGCATCGTCAGACATCCTCACACGGCATTAGTGCAAGCGGTTAATCATTCCCCTGTCTATCATCGTTCATTATCGTAATTTCTTGCTGATTTTCACGTTTTTTTATATCCCAGTACGTCGACACGAGATTTAGCGTGGTGTCATTAATCTGCCGCGTGAGTGCGAGGTTGAAGCCCAGGTGAGCAACCGTCGGTGGCGTCCCCGCAGGATACCCGGAGCCTTGACTAAAATTCCGTAACGCTTTCACGCAGCTGCCAGATCCAGTAGCGAAAGTCTCGCCGCGCAGATCGTATGCCTGGTGGCCAATTGAGTCTTCATTGCTTTGGTGTGGGATGGCTTGGTAATGAGATTATACCCCGAGTCTGGGTCCCCATCCGCTACGGCAACAGCCCCCTAATGCCCCCCCCCGCCCCCCGCTGTGTCTGCCGCCTCCCACCGCCTGGCTCGCTGCTTCCCACACCACCTCCACCGCGACACTTTGTACCAGTGTCTTGAACAAACTGGGATTATTTGGTGGAGGCCGATCGATGCGGGATGAACTTTACAGCGCGAGCTGAAACTGGCTATCGATTGGCATTCAGCGAGAAGGGATTTACCCAGGCTCTCAGCTTTGTCTAATAATGTGGATATCAGTCAGCAAGGTATAGCTTCTTTAAAAACACTTATGGAGTAAGGCTAAAAGTAATTTTTTCCCTCCCCGGCTTGTTATTTTTTATTTTCATAGCATCCCATCGGTGTTTAGGAACGAGAGACGTTGGGCAAACGTCTGAAGTGCAGCACTGCTCTGCCGCACTGCCAAATTGCGGTGGTGTGCTGGTTACTTTTTTTAGCTTTTAAAATTAGAAGTATTGCAAACGTTGGCGAGTGACGTTAATTTATCATTTGTTCACGTAATTATTGTGCTTAGGAAACTGAGCCAAAATTCTGTAATGAGCCAAAAGCTACATTTTATCTAGCACTGGGCAAAAACAAGCTGCGTTATGATGCATTGACGTTCGTTACTAAAGAGCGTTTGGCTTTCGTCAAAATGTAAAATGTTGAGTGCGCACTCCACGCTGCTTAACAAAGCGGAAAGAACGATTCCTTGGCTCCTGTGTTTTTTCAGACCAAACGCATTCGAGGTCATTGCTGTTGATGGCATAAGCTCCGGAGTTCTGCAATGTCACAGCTCGCAGGAGTGCTACGACTGGTATCAGGCAATCTCCTCCAACACCACGGAATTGACTCAACAAAACGTAAGCGCAAGCACATCCATGATCGTCGTTGTCAGGAGCGGCGGCCATCGGTTTATCCACTGCCGGATGAAATGCCTCGCCCACGCTGTTGCCCTTCCTGCACGCGCTATCTTACGTAAACAAGTCTCTTCGCTCCATCTCCACGGTGGTCGTGCTCTCGCGTGCGTTCACTCATTTGGCTGCTATTCCGTCACCCGTCTCGTCCGTCTTCTATCGTAAATGAAAACATTTGGGAGGTGTGCCCGAGCCAAGCGCACTTTTACTTTTTTCAAGTCCACAGAATGCCTCTAATTTGCATTTCCTCTCTGATCCACGTGCGTCTCTTTTTGTCCCGCGCTGTGAATTCCAAGCGTCCAGCTTTGCATCGTGCTTCCTTTGTGCAACATTCAGATTTTTGTTTCCATTGTGTTCGGAAAAAATAACTCCTTGAATACTATCATTAATTATAACAAAATAAACAGTGTATTCGTGTTCGCACAGCGTTTTGCAATCAGACGGCAATAACCACAATATTTCCTGTATCTATGTTACTATCATCTATTGCAAAAGTCATTAGAGCCAGCCTTTGCTATATTCCTATTTTGTTGATGAACTCCCATCAAGCCAAGTGACATCTTATCTGCTTTCTCCAGTCCCTTTCCATGAATTGTAATTGTCTGCCTGCACTCTGTTCACTCTATGTTACTCATTTGCTTTAAAGATTCAAATGTTAATTCATTCTAATGGAGGTTTTTTCTAAAGTGCATTTGGATGTATTAGACGTATTGAAATGTAAATTGTGTTTTTGTGTGTTTTTTTCTCCCCCAGATGAAAATGTCAAATAAATACTCCCCAGCTCATGATCAGGTGAGGCTGACATTTTCATCATCCACAGCATGGTCATTTCCAAATCACATATATATTCCTAGCAAGGCCAAGAGTAGAAATAAGTGTTGCGAAACATTGTAAATGTGTAGGTGTTATTATTATCTTGTCAAACACTTTTCACCACTGATTTATTAACATTACAATGCCGACAGCCAAAGTTCACCTCTGAAGTTTCAAGGCAGTTCACACATATATAGAGGGTGGGCCAAAAATCAGGACACACATTTATTTTAACACATCAAATAGGGTTGTTTAATTTATTTTCACAAATGTTCAAACTGATTTCCATTTACGTGAATGTATGCATGAATTCTATTTTAAATGTAATTATGACTTTTTTTGTAAAGGTTTCAACTGCATTCTTTTGCATACATAATTGTATTAAAATTTATTCCGAAGAGGAAGAAGAAAAATAGATATTAATAATGATAATAGATGAATATAAACTTAACGAATCAACAATTAAAATGTGTAAATGCTCGTGTTTACATAAATTAAATAATCCTATGTATCCTGACATTTGGCCCACCCTGTATATACAGTACCATGTAAACAAGAACATATAATGATTCATGCTTTATGTACGTTGGGTTAGATCATCGTGCAAGAGCTTTGTCTTTACTACAACCTGCAACGCCCGACACAGCCAATCAAATCGAGTTGTCACGTGGTGGGCAAATGAGTCAATTGATTTGCTTTTTGTTGAAAAACAAGCACAGTTTTGAAAATGTTGGGTGGTGGAGGGTTATAGTTCAACCTTGGCATTACACCCCACAAGTTGATCCGACGCAAAATTAAATTAATTATGACCCACGTTGGTTGTGAAAGCCTACAAATAAAATCAAGCAAATCTCAACAAACGCGTTTCACTGTTTGTCATTAGATTTATAATACACTTCAAAGACGTGTATCGTATCTCACTGTTAGTTGGTTTAACCACTGAATCCAAATCACAGAAATTATTTACGTATCTTTATACTTTGTACTATTGTTCTACCGTCGTCGTATGTTGTAAAATAAATATTTGCACTTGTGTGGGTATCGATTCTTTTTGGAAATCCACTGCTGAATCGAGGGCCTAGCTAGGCCTGGGGTTATTTGACCATACTTCACCACAATGTTTCGTGTGGATTGGTAAAGATGAGGCTCATAGACATTGGAGCATAGTGCAGTAAAATTTAATTATTGGTACACTCCCCTCAACATAGCCCCACAGCAGCCCACAGCGCCTGCCTTTCACGAGTCATGGTCTCCCATCCATGCACTGTCCAGTCCCAACTCCGCTTAGCTTTTCAGATCTGACAAGATTGCGCGCATTCCATGTTACTTGGTCACAGGATATATTTAATTGCTTTGGGTTTATTTTCAATGTGTCGGAATGGTTTTTGTTTGCTTAAATGGCTGTTGTTTGTTTACCATATTTTACCCTTTAATGATCTTGTTGTGCAATTGTTTTATTAATTTTTATTTTATTATATTTTGACTTTGTAACCCGAGTCTCAGATTGATCATCTCAATGGCCTCTCACCTGATTGCAAAGTGAAAGATCAGTGTGGTTGCCTCACAGCGGCCCAACACTGTCTGATATCCAGAAGCCTTTGCGACGATGCTTAAGTGTGCGCACGAGCAAAAATACTCATTCGATATTCTCCTTCGGCAGATATTTGTTTTTCATTTATATTAAACGCGTTATTACGGAGAAACTACGTGATGTGAAGTTCACGAGTTATTGCCTTTCATTTAAAATTGCAAGAGAATATAAATACTGTTTGCCAAAATAGTTTTGAGTCATCGCATTCTTGTCGAGTGGCACAGAATATGTATCATTCGACGTAAATATTTCATGCAATCATTTTGCAAAGTTAATGATGTCTCTTTTTTTTTTAACTCACCACAGTTTTCGAAATGTGTATCTTTTTTATTTATTCATATACAACTATAACACACGCGGAAATAATTCGGACAAACTAATTACAACGCCGACGACAGCTGCGGCACGGAACCCGAGGATAAATCAAATTCCCTTGTTTGTTATTTTCTATCTCCTCGGTCGGCTAAGGTTAAATTTTAATTCAAGTCGCGAGGTCGTCGTCTGCGGTGGAGTGTGATTGCCCGTCGCGTAAGCGCGCCGCGGTGGGTGCGCGCGAATCACTCGAGCGCGTGATGGTCGCAGATCGTGCACATGGGCTGGCTGTACGAGCGTGCGCCGACGCCGGACACGTGGCAGGTCTACCGCACGCGCTTCCTCGCCCTCAAGGGCCACCACATGCACCTCTTCTCCTGCCCTCCCGTGAGTGGGCCCTCCCCGCGCACGCTGCCGCGCGTCTCCCAGGGCGGCCGTGATGTCGTTCTTTTTTTGTTGCCCACGATACGAGAGATCGGCACCGGCCTGCTTCCCCGCTTTCTCGTGGGTCCTCGCGCGCAGCTCGCAACAGCGGCGCGCGATCCGTTCGTGTGACCATCGAAGTTGGATATGGATGTTTGAGTCGCGATTGCGACAAAGGAGAAGACACACCCTTCATTCGTTGCCTCGTGCGCACGTTTTTTCGGGTCTCCTCAAACACGTGGACCACGCTCAATAATTGGCTGAGCAAAGATCTGAATGTGTAGGGGACTGCAGGCGATGCGCCGTTGTTGGCTGCGTCGACTCAATTGTGCGGTGGCTTTGCAGCTCGTCTGTGGATCTGCAGTGATTGCGAGAAGTTGACTTGGTCAGCATTGTTTGTTTCAGTCGTAGACTCAGCCGTCCATGCCTCCTCACTAGGCACAGCCCTGCGGGAGGGGAGGGTGCGGGGGGGGGGGTCTTCTGGAGGAAGCTGAGCCCTGCTGTCTCTAATGAAAGATCTCAGCCTGTGCCTTCATTAACATTGATTAGGCTCTGACATGTGGTGAGCAGTCATAGCCATCGTCATGCTCGACGATGTTCCTCCGGTCGTAGTCACCAGGTGACTAAAACAACCCCGTTTCCTTGATGAATGATTGTGTCGGCGACCTGGCAGTCAGTGATGTTAGAGGAGTGGACCGCAGGGAAGACGACAACTAAACTAAAGTATTTTTTTTATTTTACCAGTTAAGGCCCATTTGAGCTATTGCAGCTGTTTTTCAGAAGTGACCTGGCCACAAATAATAGCTCATACAAGTGGCTTATTATAATAATAATTTGTAAATGTATTATAGCCAAATATTCTAAACTCGTGTTTCTAAATTTGGAGGGAAAAAAACCGGGAGACACGGAGAAAAAGCCACTCGGCGACGGGGAGAACTTGCAAACTCCAAATATACAGCAGCAGCAGGTGTCACGGTCAGGATCTAAGCCACAGTCTCCTGTATACCAGGCGAGGTAGTTAACATCTCATAGTCACCGTGGTGCCCTGCCATTACCACCTGCCTCCTCCTCCTTCTCAACCCGTTTCCCATTCCTTCCACGCTTGCCTCCCACGAGCCGCGTTAATGCATTTGCAACGCACGCTGATAAGCAGGACAACAAAGCCCATCCGCGCACTCAATGTATATTAATTTGGCCGATTGTATATTCATGTTTATTGTGGCACGTATGTTTGATATGGATTTGATATGCTATGTTATGGTAATGAATCATGCCGATCAATACGTCGCATTATTTAGAGCCTGTTGCGCGATGCATAACTTGTTTTTTTCAAAGGCCGCCTCGGTGGCTGTAGGATGAAGAGCCCACGGACACGGTCTGTCCGCGTCGCCGTGGGGTCTTCACTGTTTGCCGTTTGGCCCCTGGCACGGCAGACGGTCGTCGTTGATCGTTGTCGCGGGACGGCGATTGAGAATAACGTCACGTTGCACCTCGTGACTCGACGAATAATCTCGATCCACGGTCAACAATTCGATTCAGGAATTCGGTTGTTTGGGTTTGTTTCATCATTGTCGTGGAGGTAGCAGCCCCGAGTGGCTACAGGGGTCACATGAACCTGCTCAAGGCAACATGTATGAATCAGTAATGTAAATCGAGTGAAGGAAAGAAAAACCTTTCATGGACCCTACCTACTCCTCTGTTTTATTGGCTCATTTTTTTGTAATTCTCTTCCAAATGACGACGACGATATTGATGATGATATAAATAAAATAATGAATTTACTTTACACAAAGAGTTTGATGCCAATATTATGAGCTTAGTAATTGATGTCAGGAGGTGGGCTGGTGGTTTAGAGGTCGGACCACTAAGCCATCACCAGTGAGAACCTGGATTAGAATCCAGACAAGTCACCGATGATCAAACAGGATTTTTCTAATCTTGGTTTAAAACTTTCGTGACTGCAGGCATCCATACTCTTTGATTCTTTCGGTAAAGGCACGTAGTTAGAAATAAAACTAAATAAAACAAATCACGATGTTTCGATCGCAACACAAGCTGTCGTAATCACCGCCTGTGTTGCGATCGAAACGTCGTCTTCACCGCTTGTGTTGCGATCGAAACGTCGTGATTTCATTTTAATCTTACTACTTTACTTTAGCGAAATAACCAAAGAGTTGGATTTGTTTAATGTAATGAGTTGACGAATTTCAACCCATTCACTAAATTTCAGTGCTGAGAATTAAATATAGCGGTTTGACTGTTCAAGAACAAGCTCGTAGCAGACTGTGTGGGAAAGCCCACGTGATAAAGTGTATAGGGTAAAAGGGCCATCTGAATGATTCTTTATTTTATGAACATTCTTTTGAAAATGTATTTGTTCCGTGGTTATTCTCTGACATCAGCACTTCGGGTGTGATGCCTGTTACAGTATCCCCCCATGTGCTGTGTGGGCTTCTATCGGTACTCTCAAACAGCACGTGCCCCCAACAGGCTGTGAAAGGCGATATGGGGATGATGGTCTTTGTGAGAAAAAATCATAACCTTATTGTCTTTTATTTACAGGTAAGCACACGAGACTGGGAGAAGGCAGAACGGATCTACAATGTGTTTGAAGTCCTCTGTAAGGTTCTTAAGGTGAGATAATTCGAGGCCAATTAATTTAACCCCGAGGCAAAACGCATTCCGATGAAAGCAAAACGTGTGCAACAACAGGAGGATCTCCCCCCCTCCCTGCCCCCCCTGGCGTTCGGAATGAGTTCACGTTTGTTAACGTGCCGCTTGAGGGTTGTTGGCCTCACGAACGAGTCGCGTGCGCGTTCGTTGCCCACCGGGGCACCTGTGGGTCTTGGCTGCCTCGCCGTGTCGACGGCGCATGTACCCGCGCCGTCGACAGCCTCCCAGACTGCACGATGCCGAGCAGGACTTATTTTTTTTTTTTACCGCAGCACTTTGTTTCACGATGGGATTCGATTTTTAAACCGTTGGCTCGCGATGCCCGGGTAAAAATATCCCGCAGCTAGGCGAGCAAATCGTTGCGCACGGATTTCTCATTTCGCCACGCCACCATCATATTAACCAAATGCTACTCATTGCTCCTTCAACGTAATCAATGTAATACAACAATCACTCAAGGTGCGGAGCGTTAGTTATCAATCAGACACAAAAAAAACAGGATGCAGACTTTATCGGAGTGCACGCTAACTTATATTTCATGAGCGGTAATGGACATATCGCTCCCGGGCGTAATTTGAAACCCCCAATCCAATCATGGGATTGAAGTTGACACACAAAGTTGGCAGCCGTCCATCAGGATTCACACTGCAGGATAAAATAGAAAGCAATCGGAAAGACTGGATGGCTTTCTGATTGCAGGAGAAAGCTATAGCACCCGAGGTAATTGGATGTGTCTGTAATAGGAATTGTTCCTACAACCGGTGCTACTGACCTTGGTGAGTTACAGACGCCACCACGCGTGTCGTGGCGGTGCAGGGGTCACACGTTTAATTTTAATTCACTCGTACGAGATGGCCGCGTTTAATCGCTCCCTTTCACTACTTGACCGAGTGGTTTGCGAATGCGAAACATTTTTACTCGACTCCAACGTGGCTCACAATGAACACCCTTTTTGTAAATTTGGAGTGAACCGATGTGCAGGTGATTGTGCCGCGGTCTGCCGCAGCAGCTGCGTTCGCAATGCTGCATTGTGTCTCAATCACTTCCGCGGTGAGCACTACTTATTCTGCTCCCTTAAAGAGATTGCCTCATCGTTTCACATGCCTGCAGAGTTTTGACTACAGCTCCGTGCCTGGAAACTTCCTTCATCTAAATCAAGTCGCATGCAGCTTTATCGATGGGGCATAACATAGAACATGCTATCACAGTAGCAGAGAAGAATGAATGAATGTTGCATGGTGAGTTTTATGATATAATATTAGATATGCCCATGGCTTTTTGCAGAACTCATGGATACTTTGTGTTACAGGTTGGCCACCGCGGTCTAAATGGTCTGCATTGTGGGTGGACTGGTGGTGCAATGGTTAGCGCACTGCTCTAATGAAGCCAGTTACTGTACCTAAATTCGACTTCTAGACAAAGTGAATATCAATGATCTTGACTTGAAACTTTCAGTGACTGCAGGAATCTATACTCTTTGGTTCTTTCGGTAAAGTCACGTAGGTATGCAATAAAATAAATCACGACGTTTCGGGCGCAACACAAGCGTTCGTCATCAGGTGGGAAACAGTCCTTACCAGTCTGGAATGCTTTTCCGGGAATGATTTTGGCACGCCGCATCCATCTCAACTTATTTTGAATATCAATGACTAGTAATTCATGAACCGGATCTACTTCCACCCCACCCCCCTCTTCTCCAACCCACATTGACCAGCGTGGTGAAGTATGGTCATGTAACAGAGTGTGGCGAGGCCTTCGTCCAAAAGTGGGCTGGAAAGTGGCGGTATGATTTATTGTATTATCATGTTGAACAAATCCATCAGTTAAAGGCTGGGAAATTCATAGACGTATTAATTTGCAAGTCCGCATTGCGATAGAGTTTGGGAAAATTGCTTCAAGCTCGACAAACAGTGCTTAACAGTCTGGACTGCTTTTCCGGGGTATGATTTGGCACGCCGCATCCATCTCAACTTATTTTGTCTTCATCGTTTGTAAAAAAAAAAAAACACCTGTTCATAGAATTATCGATATATAGGATAGGATAATAGAGGATTGTTATGGATAAGAATCCCTTGCACGTCTCGAATGGTAGTGCCCAATGGCAACGTCAAACTTGTTTTGTTTTATAGAAGGCTGAGTCGACCCTCGGGTGGCCCGTGACTGGCTCTGACATTTGTCACCAATGTTGGCCGTGAGCGCGAATCGAACTCCGTTTGACAGCTTCGCGGCACAGCGCCGCCGCTAAGTTCATCCGCTGCAGCGCTTCTCTCTCCGCGCGAGCGGCGACGCGGGCGCTGGTGGGGGCGCTCCGTTGCGTGGCCATCGTTTCGCTAGAAGCGCACCGTCTCCTCCTCCTCCTCCGCGGCCACGTCGCGAGCGGTTGCTTCGTCTCTCGAGGAGACATGCGGCGTGAGCGCCGGGCCGACGGGCAGCAAAGCGTTGGCCCGGGGGGCTTGCGCTGCCGTCGGCGTTTTTCCCTCTTGAACTTCTGTCGTGAGCAAAGCGATGCCGCGCCCTCCCTCGTCGCGAGATGCTGCTGGTGGTGCTGGTGGTTGGGGGGAGGGGGAGGGCTCGGTATGTCGCTGCAGGACAAGTTGGATTTCACCAGAGGACAAAAAACAAAATTGAATCATCAAAATTGTCATCGAATTGAGTCTATTTTGGTGGAATTGTTCAAATATTGGATACATATCGCCTCTCATCAAGGTGAGAATGATATCCCAAGTGCCATTCTGCTCCAAGGGTCACGAACGGTGTACAGGAGCACTCGGTCTTGATCTGACTACCCCCCCCCTCCCATTACGTGATTTCATCCCGCTATGCGTCTCCCTCTCGTCTCTCCTCTTCCTGTCTGCTCCCTCTATCTCTTGCCTGCTTTTCCTCTATCACAGATTGAGATCACTACAATTGTGTGTGTGTGTGTCAGACAATCAGAGGATGTGTAATCCTGGTTTCCTTCCCTACTTTGTTGCTGTTGATTTCACTTTCAGTGTCTACCTGCTTAAATTGCCACCGGGCAGTGCTCATCTCGTTCAATGGCCATACATCACTGTGGCCTAACCACGTGCCTAGGTGCTGGGACCAGTCAATCCACAAAGCACCCGCCTGCCTTTGAGTGGAACATAAAGCAGAACTCGTTGTTTTATTGACCACGGAGGCATAATGGGCCGAGTCAATCTCTGAGCAAAACGTTAAACTCTTGACCTGCCCCCCTGAGAGTCGAGGGCCCTGGCCCCACGCCACTCAGCCGGCCTTGCGAGAGACGCAGCGCAATGAGTCAGCACTCGCTGGAGGAACGCCACGTATTTTCGAGCTGTTCTGCATTCCTGGGGTGCCACGGGATCCTTGAACGTCCACTGTAAAGCGAAGCGGACGGCGCGATTCATCGCTGGCCGATTGTTCACGGGCCTCCTCCGTTCATTCCCTTTCACCCCCGGCCCCTTCGCCCGACCTTGCCGATCTCACGGAGGCGACGCACAGGGGGGCGACCTGCAGGACCAGAAGGAGCACTGCTTCAGGGTCATGACCTCCACAGAAGACATCCACTACTTCAGCGTGGAGCAGGCGAGCGAGCTCGCGGTGTGGGAGAAGGCTTTCCAGACGGCAAGCTTCCTGGAGGTACAGAGAAGAGGGGTAGGTGTACTTTACCCACGTGGCCACTGCGCTGTGTGTTTGATCGATCAAGACCAGGGCTTCATTTCAGTTGGGAGTTGGCCGGGGCTGGACTCCGAAAAATATGTTGCTTGTCCGGGAAGTTGGGGATTGGCGGGTTAGAGGGCCACGGAAAATATTCTTTGAGAAATTAAGGTTCTGATTGTGACCATCAATCCGTGAGCTAGTGGAGCTGTAGACGTTGTTACGTTTGTCTTGTCGCTTGTTAATTCTGTTTAAGGAAATTAGTGACTTAAAATTTTGAAAGGGTAGCGGACAAAAATAAGCGTGACGATGACTACGGCTAACCGCCGTGACTGACGATTCCGAGTGAATTTGCGGACGGAGGTCACTTGCTGACGTTAGAGGCGGCAGTGCGCCGAGAAGGACCAGCGATGGTGATTGTATTGAGCTTACTGAGTACTGACCTTGTTTTTTTTTGGGGGGTGGGGTGGTGCACACCCCCAAACATATGCATTTATTAACTATGCGTATTTTACAAAATGTTAGACTGCTTCAGTCGACTACACTTACAGATAACAGACTCAGGTTAAGACTCAAATAAAATTCAGACTACGTCAACACGAGTAGATTGCAAAGCCATTATGAAAGGCCTTTTTGCCTGGCTCCGTGGTTTTGATTAAGATGCTGTATGGAATTTGGTCATGAATAATGCATGTCACTTCATGTACGTTTCGTTATTTTTAGGTCAAAACACCGTTAATGATGTGTATTGAATTAACGTTTATTTGTGCCAGTGGGGGGCCTTTTTGTGTTTTGAACATCTGCCTGCCCTCACTTCCAAGTAACCAATCTTCCCTTCGCTGCTTCTCATGCTCGCTGCTCACAAACGTCCCTCCACTCCTCCGCTCCTTTGACCATTCCTTCTCTCTCCTACCGCCGCTTCTGTAACCCCAATTCAGCGGAAAACCAGGAGCTGTCTAATTACGCATTCTATTGACTTTCTCTCTACAGACTATGTGTGCGGGGCTGGGGATGGGTGAGATCCATGCTCAGTGCAATCTGGGCGTCATTTTGCTTGTGTTTATTTTTCAGTCCATAACCTACAACTGTTTACTCAAGGGAAGGCCACTGGGATTGAAGATAGACTTTAACACAGGATTTACATGTGTTGATGCGGAAACAAAGGTATGTGTACCGATGATAAAGCAGCTGACGACAGTTTTGCTCGTAGGAAGCATTAACTGCGGCCCTGTTCCTACACAACGTCTACGTTGTAAATCAGCCACGCTGCAATTACATTTTAATGACACCCGAAAATTATGATTCCGTTTACAGTAATTTTTTCTTGCATTTTGTTCAATAACATTTGAAGGAAACATCACTTTGTATTTAATAATTGTGCGTAAAGAAACTTTGAATGCATTACAATTTAGCGACTAAATTAATTAAATGGTTATAATGAGTTGCGCAGTCGTTAAAATTAATGACCAAAGCGAGTTAAGAATAATGTTAATAAAACATTTTAATTTTTTAATTTTGAAAACCAAAGAAATGTTAATGTTTTTACTTTAAAATATGATTTGCTGATTAAAAAATATATCCTTTAAAACTCACACCCTTTATGTTGTAAAATACTAGCAGATAAATATCGTTGGATCTTTGCACAGATGATGATACATGTGGGACTTTATATTTCTGAAGATCAAGCAACATTCACGATGTTCCACTTCCTTAAAAGGAGGAAAATGAATGTTCTTTGGTAAAATATGAGCCCTGTTGAAGTTAATGGTCTCTTTTTAAAACGACAAAGATTTAGGCTCCACACGTGTCAAGTTTTACTCGACGTAACATTGGGTGCCAGGGATTATCTCCTACGTCATCATCAACACCTGCCGTTTGTGGTCCTTTCAAGGCAGGTGCCGTCTCGTTCGTCAGTGAAAAGACGCCGCGTCTTTATTTGGACTTCTTCGTGGCGTGCCCAGTTGAAGAATGCCTGGGCGGCACTCTGCCGGGCGTGGCCTGACAGTTGGCCGTCGTCGTGAGACCTCGCCCATTGGATGAGCGGCAATTCTGCACTTTTTTTTACAAGGAGTCATGTTTGCATAGACCACAATACCTGCAGTCGTAATGCAAACAAAAAACACAACTCTGATAATGTATGCACTAGTCCTTGAAGTTGATTGGTCCACACCCGAGACAGCTTTCCTTAGAGCCTAGTCTCACATGGTGTTGGACCAGATGACGCCAAAAGGCGCAGCATTTGGCGTGGACCAATTAACTTCAAGGATAGTGCATACATTATCAGAGTTATGTATTTTTGTTTGCATTATGACTGCAGGTGTTGTGGTATATGCAAACATGACTCCTTGTAAAAAAAGGTGTCAGTTTTGTTGCCAGATAAAAGGGTAAAAAAACAATTATCATGTTTTTTCTTCTGGCAAATGAGGTTCCAATGGTGGCGATTCTGCAATTTGAAAGGGAACTCGAGTCAAGAGATCATGTTTGTGCTGGGTATCTTTTGGATGGGAATGGGTTCGAGCGAAAATGTGCGATAGCAAGAGAAGGAAACATGATGTAAGTTCAGTTTTGCTGTTGGTTGTTGCTTTGCTAGTTTGTTTGTTTTTTAAAATTGCTTTTGTTTCGCAGCATCTAATTTGGCATTACAAGTTCGCTCAACTCAAAGGCTCCTCTGATGACGGAATGAGCAGGGTTAAGTTTTTATTTCAAAACACGGACACAAAATTAGTGGAGACAAAGGTAAGGACGTGCACTTACATCTCAACGCATAACACATTCTATTCCATTACATTCCCAGATTGTTCACGTGTTCATATTTGCATAATGTAGAAGCTGCGCTCATGAATACAACTGTGGTATTTCAGATAAGAAAAACAAATCAAGTGAGCAATGAAAATAAAGAGCTATTCTGGTTTCAATCAATGCAGCCATATAAAATTTAAATCCCACAAATGTATTTTAGACATTTTTAATCAAATATATATTTTCACGTGCAATTTTAAACTTGTATACAATTATATATGAAGATATGTATATATATACATCAGAAATGTAAATATCATTAAAACATCATAATCTATATTTTAATGATAATTATTAAAAATGACGGTTAAAAATACCAGTGGAGTGACGTCCAAGAAATGGAGTGAGTCCGATAGCACGTCCACCAGGGAGACGGAGCGATGAAATCAGCCCGTGTGCAGGTGCCGGATGGATTGCCCCGCAGATTAGTGAGAGATGGCAACGGCTTGGGGAGGCCTTCATCCAGCAGCGGATTGATCATGGCTGCTGATGACGATGATGATTTTATGGCAAAAAAAACCCCATGAAATCACTACAATGGCTTCAAAAGATCACTCGGAGATGCGTGACCCCACGTGGGCTGCCGCAGAGGGGACACGGCAGCGGCGCATTATCCAAACAGATACAAACGCAACCGCCAGTGGCTTTCTTTCGTGATGACAAAAAAACAGGATCAAAATGACTCATTTTACATCCAGTGAATACAAACACCATAAAAAAAAACGGCCACATTAATGTCAAGCAACGATAAACCAGAATTCCTACTTATTATGTTTGAGTAACGTGGCGCACTCACGTTGGACTAAAAGGGCCGTTAACATCCCTTTGTGCCGTTCCCCCACGCTCCCCTCTGAACTCGCCACCCTGTAACCTAATGGCTATCCCCGTTATGATGTCGTTTGATGGCGTTGTAAATAGATTGTGCCGCGCAGCGCACTTGGGAAGCACGCAACACTCACATATCCGCGAAGCGAATATAACTACAGTATATATATCATGTATTTGATATTTTTTTTCATTTCAGGAGCTGGAATTTGCAAATCACATGGCCGTGCTGCATTGCATCCATTCGTTCGTCGCCGCTAAAGTGGCTTTAGTGGATCCGGCATTCGTGGAGGCGCAGGGCGCGTCGAAGAAGCACGCTCTGAGCTAGCGCACGGTGGCGGCAGAACACGGGGCCACTCGGTCGTTCGCTTAAACGATGGCGACGCAGTCGAGTTCAAAAGCAATTTTGCTCTTCGCCGTCCTAAAATATTTACGGACGCGGCGACGAGGTGAAAATTGGGAGGATGGGAATTGGACGGCGAGCACGCGACGCGCGAGGATGGTGACCAGCTCGAGTCTGGGGGGATGGAGTGTGGCGACGTCCTGAAGATCGTGTACATTTTACATTTTGCGATTCCGTAAAAAAAGACCAACACCGTCTCATTTAGTCAGCTTCACCGCTATTTCCCATGAAACTTTAATGAATGCACATCTAATGGTATTTTTTATCTGTTTGTTGCAATATATATACAGAATGCCTTGCGAGTAAAATAATAGATTCATCGTAAAAGGATATCCTTTGTAACCCGTTTTCCGCGTTGCTTATTTTTTCAATCGTGCATCGACATTTCCCCTAATATTTAAAACAAAATACATTGTGAGTAAAATTATTCAATATTTTTGTATGAATCCGTGAATAATGAACTTGACTGATCTGCAAATGAAAGGATTTTATGACACACAGAATGTAGGTGAAAGGGATAGAGTTGCAAGTTCCTATTTTGTTAATAGATTTTATTCTTGTATATGAATTTGTGGATTGTTAGATACTGTACAGTATTATTGAAGAATTGTACTTATAACATATTTGAGACAATCAATACAAATTTTGGTTTAATATTTAGTTTTCAAATAAATGCCTAAATATCTAAGCTGTTATTAACTCAAAAAGCACACAACCATTTCACTAAAACTGTTATTATTATTTATGAAAATTGTATATAATGTACACTACACTTTTTAAAATATCAACGACGATTAATATTGATGCTTAGAATTGTATTGCGTAATTATTGTTTCAGTTTTGTTTCTTCCTCCGGCGCAAAAAATTTAAAAAAGTCCCTTGAAAGGCAGTGACAGTTTTATATGCGTTTTCGCCAAATGAATTTCCAGTATTCGCAACACGTTTCTTTTCCTGTTTTAATTAACTTTAAGGAGATCTATGCTTTATTGCCTCTTTTAGGTGAACATGTAATAAATTATGCCTGTAATATGTACAAAAATATAAAATAAAAACAACACACGCAAAATAAAGTCGAGCGTGATGACATTGTTGAACTCGCCTGTTTCAATGTGCTCATCAAAATCCAAACGACTCGAACGGTCGACACAGCTACTGCCAAGTGCCATTGGTGCCCCGGGCTCCCGGCATCTCGAAACACGACGCTTTTGGACAAACATCACGCGACTTTTTGAGTCTGCGTCTGTCTCCGTGCGACAAAGTGACAACCGCTGCTGATTTACGTGGTCAACAGAACTTTAAATACAGTTCACAGCAGCGCACGTGCAAAGCAGTAGCCAGCCGGTAGTTGTGTACACTTCATATAATTAAGAGTACATCAGAACTCCTGTTATCCTGGTGGAAGCTGGAGGCACACTTGATGCACTTCTGTCTGCAATGCTCATCGTACCCAGAACCAGTTGCCGTCCTGGCGCTACATCCGGAGCTGCACCAACAGCCGTCTGGAACCTTCTCCCTCCGCAAGTTAACTGCATCCAAGCACCATCCTCCAGCTTCAAGCAGCAGCTCAAGGTTCACCTGCTCAGCTTGGCTTATACGAGGAACTCAGAGCTAAAAATGCGTGTGTCATACAGTATTTATTATGCAATCGTGATTATTATTCGTTCTTTCATATGGCATTTGAAAAAGAGCACAAGGCTAGCAATTGATCTTCCATCTGTGGAGGAGATATCCACACCTTCTACATTACGTAAATATTGGACACGGTTGATGATAATCGCAGGCACCACAGGGACCGCTCGCTCGGAGGACACCCCCAGCTTCCCCAATGGGGCGGCGGTGCCCCTAGCCTCAGCATCTTTCGAGGAAGCGGGTTGTTGAGCATTGACCATGGCAGTGCCAGGGGACAGAGTGCATGCAAGGAGGTCTGAGGTCTGATGCCACCGTGTGATGCCAGGGTCAGCCGTCCACCTCCTGACCTCGTCACTCCAACTCCACAGGGTGATGCCCTGCTCGTGTCCCACAGCCACGACACGTGACACAGCACCAGCGGTGGAGCGTTCCACCGCTTGTTGAGGTTTGCGGTTCGAATCCGGCGGGCCACCCTGGCCATTACTGCTGTGCGTATTATGCGCACAATAAGCGCCGTCTGCCTCACAGTGGACGTTAAAGATCCCCTGGTGTCATTTGAAATGAGTAGGCCATTGCGTGCCGGCGACATGGTCCAAATATATTTCATTTTTAAAAAGATGACATATAACATCACCCAGTATTAGAGTGTCTGTGAAACACAGACGCGTTCCTTCACGATAGCCTTGTGCTATAAGAACGGCAGGAATACCACATTAACTAAATTGTTTATTATCGTTAGCGGGGAAGCTCACATTAATCTGCCAGATTGACACGGAGTATAAAACACGAGCTGGATATGCGCCTGAATAGAAGGGAGGGGGATGCACAATTGCGTTCATGTTTGCTGTGGCCAGGAATCCGTCGCAGATATTCGGGGTTAGTAGCGCAATACATCAACCGCTGTGCCACCACTCCACTCCACTCTGTATTGTGAACATAGGCAAATGAACCCCCCCATGGAGTGCTAGCATAAAAAAAAATTGTATTAAATCTTAAATGTTAGCTAAGGACATCGGGTGCCAGGAAGTCCGTGGCTGACCTTCAATTAACATTCATTCCAAGGTGACCTTTCGTAATCCAAAGTTGAGCCAGCTGTTTTGAGATGCGCGTTGCTCCTGCAAGATCACTCTTGGCCGTGAGTTGTCTGCTCCGCTCCATCCTGAGCTGATGCTGCTGCTGCTGCTGCTCACAAGAACCTTCCAGGGGCTTGATCCACAGATAACTCAATTTGGATGATTTACCACAACTCTGGTGTGCTGTGTTGTGTTGTCTTCTCACGAAGCCTACATCATCATCATCATCGCTTGGCAATATGGTCACCTCCACCTCTTCCGATATTTCTCCACCCGCTATATTCTCTTGTGCGAAGTCTCCATCTTCTGTCTTCACATCTGCTCCGAGGTCTCCATATTTCCCTGCTTCCGTGTGTCGGGTTCCTTTGCATCGGTTTTCAAGGTAACTTCTATGTGGCATCCGTCCTGGGTAGATGTGCGAGCCATTGCATTCGATTGCTCGTGACAATAAGAAGTCTGAATGCCGATTGTCCCATTCCCTTCCTGACGCATTCACCGCGTACTTTCATTTGCCAGTTGATTCGCGGAAGTGTCCAAGCATCGTTCGGCTGACTTTGTGAGAGTCCCAACGATTCGCATCCAAACACGAACACGGTCAGAGCCGTTATTGTGCAATGCCAAATCCGCATAGCCGCACGATTGTTAAAGCGTGACGCGTGGGAGTATTCTCCCATGTTTACCGACTCTTCGGGTACATTCACGCAAAGACTTACAATGCAAGTTCAATATACAACCGACAGAGTCATACAATAACGAGGTCAAGAGGTGATCACAGTCAAAGCCATTGATGCCAACACCACCACACCCCGCCAACGTGTTGTATCCTCAGCGAGATCTGTGCAGCTGCTGCACAGCAGACACAGCAGCGACCCCCAAGACCGGCTCCCGACAGCCTCCAAACCATCTGCTCTTCGGTCTTCCACGTGGCCCGGCGGGGTCGTGGAAACCATGCCAAGGTGTGTCAGGGTAACCGGGCCTCCTCCATCCTGATCGTCTTTACAACGCTTGTCTGCCATGAATAACAGATTATCTCAAAATAATAACAGGGGGGTGGGGGGCTGAGAGAAACAGAAGAACTAGCTGTTGTTTCTGTTCACCGGTCTTCATGATGTATTGTTGTTTACAGACTTCAACATAAATATCCCACAATACCCTCTGGATGGGGCTCTCGAGAGCTCCCTCGATGGAAACCTCTTCTACTAGCAGTGCTGCGAGCAAGCAATTGCAGGGCTGCACCTTTATCATCACCTGCAGAAGTGATCAATGGGGCACGCGTCATGCGGAGTTCGTTTTCATGCTTTTAAGGAATCCTGGCAATTTTCTTGTTCAAGAATCTTAACCAGGGTGGGGGGGGGATGAGGGTAGGGGTGGTGAGGGTCAGAATGGGGTCAATCTGGGGGGGGGGGGTGAGGCTCAGGGTGTGGGGGGTCAGGGTGGGGGGGCTTCGCAGATATTATCTTTGGGTGCATCACGTGGCTACAAATATTCCACGACGCACAAAGCCACGTCACTTGATAATGTCGGTGGTGTTGTGTGGAAATAATGACGGCGATGGGCTCATTACAATGAAAGTTCGTTGAAACAATGAGAATGATTCATATTCTTAGGTTTTTTCGGTAAAGTCACGTAGGTAAAAACATTAAAAAGTAAAATAAAATAAAAAATAAAATAAAAATCACGACGTTTCGGAGGCAACACAAGCTTCCCTCTTCAGGTGGTACCGTCACAGAATGATCTTAAATTATCTGAAGGGAATGTACAGAGCGCCTTCACCAAAGCGCTTTACAAAAAAGAATTGACAATGGTACAAGATAGAGTGTGATGGTGGAGGCGAGGTGCATGAAATAGATGGGAGGCAGCAATGGGCAAATCTGTGATGATGCGTGAATTCGGTCAAAGCGAATTGATACGCGTAATTGATGATGATGAATGGATTTAATGAATGGGGTTAATAAGTGATAGCCGTAAAATAAGAATATGAACATGATGACCTTTTTGTACTTTTATAAGCATCTGAGTTCCAGTTGATATTTGTTTTACTTTCTAACGCCTTTGCTCTGTTTCCTTGGCACAATGGGCAGTCTGGCTGTGGCCTGATGAAGCTAGTTGTAATTACTGGTGAAACATTGTACTCAGATTGTAAATGTTGTGGCTTGGCTCTCCAACACACCGGTGTGCTGTACTAGTGACGAATTGGCCATGTTCTGTTTACGTGACAAACCTTACTAGTTGGCTGTGTCGGGTAGTGGCGGGTTTTAACGACACATTTATATATTTACGTGATCTCACCCAAAAAATTTCTATTATGGATAAAACGGATAACTCATCAATTTAATTCCTTAAGGAGCAATACAAATCTAGATCACTTGAAAATAGTTTTTTGAAGAAACTCTTTAGCTACGGCTCACACTGCAATGACGACAGCTGAGCCAGTGGTGGGAATTCCAGGTTCCTATGGTGGGGCAGAGTCTATCCATAGTACAACCAATGTGGACTTCTCCACAAAGTGGGTACTCAACCAGGACTTTCTGATTGCGAGCCTCTCGCTCTCACCGCTCGCTCTCTCACCACTGAGCCACCTGGCTGGAACACAAAAAAAAGAATTTCTAAACATTCTCCTGACAGAGTGAGAGCCGGGTTTTTTTTTGGGAAATAATGGCATGATGGAAGGTGTTGTTAACAAAAAAGCAGTCAAATTAGTAAGATGTATCGCACCCTCTCTCCAAGCTTTCTTTAAAAGGAGTTGCCATTAATTATTCACACCTCCCACATCTTTCGTGGCATTCGATGAAATGAATGGCGCTGATTTTGTGTTTTGGCAAGGGTTGATTAATGCGACGCTTTAGACGTGGAACTCTGCTGTATGTGTCACAACTGAATGTGCGTCATTTTGCACTGGGCGCTGTTTTATGCAAGCCGTGTACACACCAAAATGACACTTTCGGAAAATGAATGATGCCAGTAAACTTCCTAACAGTTGCATTTGCAGCAAATGAACTCTTAAGGATGAACTGTATTATCTAAATTTCTACAACAGCGCAATATATGAACGCGTGTTAGTGCGTCAAATTTATAACGGGCTCGCTAAACTTTACTCATGTAAAAAAATTGGAGGATGGGGCAGAATACAGAATGTTAGGGAGCAGCTCTCTTATCTGACGTGGTGAATAAATGCCTTCCTCAACTTTAAAATGGATGGTTCGGCAGCGTCAAGGTTTTCTGCATCAAGATATCAATGGCGTGCATATTCACCATCTCGGGCTAACGCATTTTTTGTTATTTTTTTGCGCGAAAGAAATTCGTAGCGGCCTTCCCAAAAACGTGCGCCGCGAATGGGTAGGTGAGCGGATCGTGGCGGGATTGAGCAGCAGAACGGTTTCGA